TTGTCCCATTTTCATTATCTATTATTTAAAAGTTTACCTGACCATTAAAAACTATGAAAGTGCTCTTTTATTAAATATTATAAAATTTCTTGTATAATTCTGTTATTCAATTGACCTTATAAGTTACATCATTTACAGTTTTTAACTATTGTAGGTGAATAGCAAAAGGGGAATAACTCCTTTCAGTAGAAATTAATAAATGGACCAAACGTTACAGAATTTCAAAATCTGTTAAAACATCCCTGCTTATTACAACTTTATACACTCTATCCGCCTCCTAGATGCCTAGAAGCAGAGAAGATTTTCAAGGAAATAATCCATTTTCACTATAGATTCAATATAGCCCCACCCTAATACCAGAGCCCCTGATCCAGGGGCCAAGATATTCATAATTTTGGAAGAAGCACTCTTGCTCATCATAACCATGCACTTAGTACGTTTCCTTAATAGCAATGGCCAGAGAAGAAGATTTTCGAAGAAATGATGCATTTCTACAATATAATCAATAGATCCTCACCCTAACACCAAAATCCCTGACCCCGGGGTTATGAATTTCAACTTGTTTGAAAAGATTTCCTTGGTCGTCATAACCAAGCAATTAGTTTTTCTGTTAATACCCCGGAGCAGAGAAGATTTAAAAAAAAAATGCATTTCCACTGTATATTAAATATACCCCCCCCCCCCCCCCCCCCAACATGAACCTCTGACCTTGGGGCCACAAATTTTACAATTTTGGAAAAGGCAGCGTTGATCATCATAACCATGCACATGGTTTATCCTCTAAATACCCCACGAGCAGAGAAAATTTTCAAAGAATTAATGCAATTTCACCATATAATCAATAGACCCCCGCCCTAACACCAGAATCCTTAACCCGGGGGCCAAGCTATTTACAATTTTGGAAGAGTTGCCCTAACTTATATACTTGGTTTATCTGCTAAATACCCAGGGGCAGAGAAGAAGATTTCAAATAAATAATGCACTTTCACTATATAATCAATAAGTCCCCCCTTTGCTGGAGAACCCCTCACCCTGGCACCACAAATTTCACATTCTTGTAGGAGGCACCCTTGATCATCATAACCATGCACCTAGTTTATCTGCTTTATATACAGGGGGAGGGAAGAAGATATTTAAAGAATTTATGCATTTTCACCATATGATAAAAAGAGCCCCGCCATAACATCGAAACCCCTTACCCAGGGACCAAGATACTCACATTTTTTTAACAGGCACCATTGATCATCATAGCTATGTACTCAGTTCATTGACTTAATACCCAGGAGCAGAGGAGAAGATTTTCAAAGAATTAATGCATTTTCACTATATAATCATTAGAACCCCGCCCTAACACCAGAACCGCTGACCCTGGGGACATGAAATTAACAAATTTGGAAGAGGCACCCTTGATCATCATAACTATGCATTTAATTTGGTTGCTTAATGCCCAGGAGCAGAGGAGAAGACTTTTAAAGAAATAAATAAATGCATTTTCACTATATATTCAACAGAACCCCTGACCCTGGGCCCATGAATTTCACAATTTTGGTACAGGGCTCAATGCTCATTACAATTATGCCAACAGTTTGACTGCTTGATGTCCAGGAGTAAAGAAGAAGATTTTTTAAAGTTTGCATTAATTTAAGTGATTTTGGTCCCACCCCTCACACCCCAGGGGGCAGGTACCAGGAAATTCACAATTTTTGTTCCCCTTCACCCATAGATGCGATATACCAAAATTGGTTGAACAGTTTCAGAGAAGAAGCTGAAAATGTTCAAATGTTAACGCACGACGCCGGACGAAAACAGATAGCAATAGGTCACCTGAGTTTACTCAGATTCCCTTTGATTCCCTATTGTGACCCCGCCCTATCCCCAGGGGCAATGATTTGAACAATTTAGAATCTACACTACCCAAGGATGTTTCCACAAAAGTTTCAACTTTTCTGGCCCAGTGGTTCTTGAGAAGAAGATTTTCAAAGATTTTGCCTATATATTTCAATGTTAAACTTTGATTCCCTATTGTGACCCCGCCCAATCCCCAGGGGCCATGATTTGAACAATTTAGAATCTACACTACCCAAGGATGCTTCCACAAAAGTTTCAGCTTTTCTGGCCCAGTGGTTCTTGAGAAGATTTTTTAATGACTCCACCCTATTTTTGTCTTTTCTTGATTATCTCCCCTTATATGGGGGATTGGCCCTTTGTTTTAACAATTTAAACTCCCCTTCACCAAAGGATGCTCTGTACCAACTTTCGTTAAAATTGGCTCAGTGGTTCTTGAGAAGTTGAAAATGTGAAAAGTTTACAGACGGACGGACAGCTAGACGGACGACGGACAACAGGTTAACTTTTGTGCAACTGGTTTAACTCGCCGTTAAATTTAACGTCGAGTTAACGCAAAGTTAACGGCCAGTTAAATTTAACTAACGTTCGTGCAACAGGACCCTGAAAAGCCCACTTGAGCTTTCAGCTCAGGTGAGCTAAAAGGCCTGCCCCACTCGATCGTGAAATAAATTCCATATATCAAACTACAAAACATTGAATATCCTCTATGTATTTGTATGAAATGCATATCCAAATAATCACTCCAGAAAACAACTTGCAAAGGTTTGTTTTATAGATTTTCCCTATGCGACGCTGATTTAACAAGGCCCGATCTACTTTGGTTTATGCAAACGTTTTTACGACGCATCACAGTACCCCTGATTGCCGTCACAATCGATTACAATAACGTCACAGTTAAAACAAGAAAACATTGATGTAACCATCAATTGTCGCCCGGGAAATAAATAGAGTAAACAATGGAAATGAGTCTTGATCATCACACCGCTTCGATATGTGTGAAAAAGGCATGCGTCTAAATGATGGAGACGATAGTCGAGAATATTTTGAAAACTTAAAGTCGGATGAAAATCGAACAAAAACGATACCCTTTTAAACTTTATCAATTCCTCAAGTAAATGTTGGCTGCATAAAATATAATTTGAAACCAGACACATGCATCACCTATTTTCAAAAATGTCGTTCACTTAAAGAATATAAAACACGAACTGTGTAAAGTACTTTTTTACGTTTTTATGCGATAAGTAAAATTCGATGTTCTAAAAAAAGGGACCTGTCGTTTTTTCGATAGTAAATGATAAGCAACTTTATATATTAAATATGAAAAACATATATATTTTTACAGATTCACTTTATGGAAGTAAATATATTGTGTATCTCGTAATTTATAAAGGGAAAGAACATTCTGATTAACAATCTTTTTAATGTTTAGAAAACCTTTAATTCTGATTAACTTCTCCCACCTCAATCCCCATATACCAACACTTAAACTTATATGTATAGAGCAGCCCGGTCCTCCGGGCTGCAATGACGTCAAATTGCGCTAAAAAATTTCGCTACTAGATGAAGCACGGGGAATTGAATTTATACCACTACCGACAGAAAATATATTGAAGAAATACTTTGTTCAAAATCCCGCATGAAGTAGATATACGTCTCCACACAACCCCTTTTTGTAAAAATTTGAAAAATAACAATTTCATTAATTGACGTTTACTGTGAAACCAACCTGTTATACTATGTTGTGGATATTGTACTTCAGATCCTCTTATTTCATTTCCGTCAAGGATAAAAGCAACGAATATGTACATTTTACTGATATATTTGATTTTTTTTTTGGGGGGGGGGGAGGGGGTTCACAAGTACTCTGGTCTGGTCTTGGTCTATAAATATGTATGTACCTTATTGATATGTAAAAAAAATGTACTTTACTTTTTCATATATCAATAAGGTACATACATATTTATAAACCATTTAACGCCCCATGAATAGGCCGAGTATTTGATACAAAAGACTGTATTCCGAAAAAAAAAACCTGAAATGTATTGATTAAAGCACAAAATTTTACAGCTTTAATTGTATTTGAACAATACCTTATTCATTTATTTTCTCTTTTCATGTAAGCAAGTTTATTACGATGCTCTCACTCAAGAATATGTACAAATTTTACTGATAAATTTATTGGGAAAGCCTACTACATAATTGTATGTTATTGTCTTTCGATATATAAATATATTCATAACTTATAGTGTTATCAATAATTTACCATTATTTCAAAGATCATTCACACAAAAGCTTTTTTTATGTTCATGCAGCTATAATCGCCTCGTTTTTCTTTTTAACATCGGGCTCGATGCTATATGATGTTCTAGAAACTTCCGTCAATATTAAGATCGGTGAATGACGAAAATAATTTGCACATTTCCCTTTTAAATCGGTTATCACAACTTATTTCTTTTATATCATTTAAATCAAGTTTTGATTGATTAATTCAGTGATGACGTTTTATGAAATAAATAAACGATTGCTTGTTTTCAGTTTCATTAGAAATTGCCAGTAACTTAGATCCGCCAACCAGAAACGCCACCGTACTCATGGTACTCACGTTTTTGATATTTCATGGCTGTTTATAGAAATTAAAAGTAGATTTTTAATATAATGTACGATATACTTACTATGCGAGTGAAATCTAAATATAGTTTACGGACATCATCTTGTATCTAGTGTATTGTTAGAGGAGTAAGTAAGAACTCTGATGCACCCGTTTCGGAGTTTATTTGCAAAATTTATCAATTTATAAGTATAGATTCTTGCATTTCTGGTATAGGTCTTGGCTCACTCATTATGGCACCCCCTTTCAGAATGAAATATGGTTGTCTCGTTACACAGTGCAAGGCGTAAATGGAAATGGTAGCAATAGTCCAAATATGTCACAAACTTATTACGAATATGAATTCTTCTCTTATTTCTTGGTAGCTGTCTTCTATATTTTTAACGGAAAAGGTCTCATGCAGACACAGGCCAGGGTTACATGACCAAATTGTATATTGGCGCCATAATCTGTCACATGTGATGAATTGTCGCTCGTGCGCGTCGGCGTAATGTTGAGGACCAATGAAATTTTTTCTTTCTTCAAAAGGTGTAAAACGCCAAAATTTCAAATATAAAATGGCTGATTTTTAGTGACAAATATAAATCGAATGAATATGGAGACGTTTTCACTCATATGCTGTCTTTTAATTTTATTTTTTTCATTTGGTAAGTACTCGTATAACATTATAAATGACTTTGTAGGATTCAAAGAGTACACAATTTCCATATAGGCTATTGAAATAGCTACAAATATCCAGATCTGTAGGTTTTTTTTTTTTTTTTTTTTTTTTTTTTTTTTTTTTTATAATTTTTCAATGGTTCGTAATGATACATGATCCAAAAGGGTGTGAAGTATTGTTTTAATCGTATAAATGTAACACATGAACCCAAGTTGACTGATGAAATGTATTGGACTGTGGACTAGTAGATCATGATGCATAATGTAGATTAAACGACGCACCGTACAATCGTTACGTTTTTATAAACATGAATATTATAAATTACGTCGCTTACAATCGTTGATAATTCATGTCCGCATATTCTGAAGTTGCGAAATATATAGGGAGATACAGTATGACTATAGTTGAGTGATTGATTGAATACGACTAATATTATGGACGACCTAATAAAATTCGCAGTGTAAACAACATGGCGGGAAACACGAAGTCAACCAAAAGCAGAGGAATTATTGTAAGACACTTGGTTTTAGGCTTTTTGACACCAAGGGCCTTAAAAGAAAGTTTGATTTCTTTTAATTTCAAGTTTAAAAATTGTTTTCTAAGCATATTTTATAAATCGCCACAGAAGGCAGAAGCGCATTCGGCGTTGGGTTGCTTTGTCATTTCAGCCACAGGCACCACCTGTGGATCCCCCCCCCCCCCAACTAACTGATAAAATGTAAGGAGTCCATTTTCTCGAAAATATGTGATTTTTCCGTCAATTCTATCTGTATGTCACTCTGTGCAATTGGTTTGTACTTTTGTTAAGTTTAAAAATTGGCCATTTATGGTAGATCTATAATGAAAAAATACACAAGATAAGAAACACAAAAATCATAAACAAATGGGGGTTCGCCGCTTCGAGGTTGATTTCCAAGGTACTATTAACTAACAGTTTTACCTATCATATTTTTGCAACCACTCTGTTAGGGAGATGTTCTGCTACTTGTCTCTTTAACGTAAACCCCATCTTTAGTGTTTCATTTGCTGTAATCAGTAGAGCTGTGTATTGAGCAAAAAATTCAATACGATATGATACAATATTTTATAATGCGATATATTGGATTCTTTAACAAGTCTATCAAGACTATCTATCTAGATCCCTTGTGGGTCTAGGGCAAAGCCCTTGTGGGTCGAAATTTCTGAATTTTTAGTCATACATAATGTCACAAAATGCTAGTATAAACAGGGATTTTTTTAGGGTCTCTCTGGGGCCGAAATTCGGCCCCATTCCCAATCCTGAAAAGTGCATATTTTTCTCAAAATTATACCTAAAAATTCCCAATATGAATAATGTATTAAGTTATAAATTATTAAAATAATGACAAAAAGGTGTTTATGTTCTCTATGTGCGATGTACGAGCCATCCAAGGTGTTCCAAGAAGTTATTTGGAATAATACGGATGTTTGCATTTATATTTTTTTTAAAGCGGGATCGATATTTGAAAATTAAAGTTGGGATCGTTATTTAATAAATAAACGTGCATCATGTCAGTCTCTCAAAATGTTCAAATGTTCCAGTTTGCCTAGGACGGTAATTTTCAGGCTCCAGGGTTGAATCGCTCTTATTCTTATAAATTGGTCAAACAATACTGATTAACCACTCATCTGGAACAAACCCACTATCAAATTTTATTTTAAAGAACTTCTTGCATAAAGGTAAAAAAGATGACAACGTATAAATATGATCATTTAGAATGTTATCATACCCTGCGGCTTTGTCATTTTTAAGCTTCTGAACTTCAACAGCCGCTATTATTTCATATCACTAAAGCTGGTTCAAGCCAGCTTCATACTATAAAAAATAAGAAAAATGATTAAATATTTGACTCTTGCTTTTTTTTCCCTATTTATTTGTATGAAGCTATTTTTCTGAATTTCAACCAAATATCACTATTTTTCCCAATTTTGACGGCCCCGGCCCCTAGAATCAAAGGGTAAAAAAATCCCTGATAAATGTTTATCAAAACTATAGCTTCACTGTTCATTCACTAACATGACAAATTTTTTGGACCTCTTTCCAATCAAAACTTCTTAAAATTTCAATTGTCTTATGCCTCTTATTAATAGGAGTGAAACGGTTCACCGCGCTATCGATTCACCGCGGTATTTTTTCTCGGTTTGATACACGGTGCAAAATCTCTAGTTTTCGGTTCGGTTCATTTTTCGGTCGGGATCGTTATTCAGTCGGGTTTGGCATAAGGTAAAACACGTTACTCAGAATAAATAAGTACAGAAAACGTAAACTTTTGATGACTGATAGCTTGTAAAATAATTTTTGACAGTCAAATAATTTTAATCAATTTCTTCTAGTCAATTTGCAAATAAAATTCGTAAAATATGTGACTAGATTAAGAAAAAGAAAGCATAAAACAACGTTGAATTTGTTTCCTTCTATCAAAATGTATCGTATCGAAAATAACCGAACCGAGACAAAATTATACAATACGTATCGAACCGTGAAGGAGGTGTATCGTTTCACCCCTACTTATTAATCGGGATTGGGATACAGTCGATTTAATCAATTCGTGCTACTTCGAGTCATGTAAGGTTTATCAGCAATGTGACGTTTGTCTCAATTTTTTTTTACTTTAAGATTTCTAACCGGCATTTCTATTAATTGAAGCGGTCAATTTGGCTGGTGGTCGGTTCTTAGGGAAAACACTGAGGCTCACTTTTAATTCTAAGAATTAAATTTCTATGCACTGTCCTTTCGGTCAATTTATTGTCATATATGACACAACAGCATTTGTGCAAAGATATTTGCTCCTTTGATAAAACTGTTTTTGTTTTTACACATGAATTCAGTCTGATGCACATTCAACACTTCATCACAGTATGTTTGTGACTGAGTGATGGCTCATTGTCCTTAGATAATTTCATTTGTTTGAAACTCACAGACTTTTTTTAATTCAGAGCATTTCTTGATGTTAGTGACGGTCTCCATCTCGACTCATTCTTCACATTCTTAAGCTATTTAAACATGGCAACTGGAAACAAAATTATTTAAATAACCAATTCAAGCATGAAAAGAAAGATAAAAAAATCATTAAGAAAGTTGTAAATGTTCAATCAAGATAATTTATTTTTCAAACAAAAGTGTTTTTGACAATTTTTTGAAATACTGAGAAATCATAAATTAATTTTGCTAAAAAAATTCTAAAAGTCTGATTGGGCTGTTGCCGACCTACATTTACTAGCCCAACCGTTAGTGAAATTTTTACTATTGTTTGGGCATTGGGCTAGTGCTTTTGGAGCACACTGTAATGTGATCGTAGGGAACGGGTTTTAGTCAGAAACTTGGAAGGAAGGAATACATTAATAAATAAAGGTAACTTCATGATCATGAACAGACACATCAATGTTTGCTCTTTCTCTCAAAAAAAAGAAGCCCCAGCTTTATGCAGATACAGCCAACTTTTGCAAAATGCATATACTGTATACAGGGTTATTTTCGCCCTGTGTTATTTTCGCCCTTTCACACTTGCAAACAATTTTGCCCGTTTTAAATTCGCCCATTCACAATTCTGTTTAAGAAATTATACTGCCTTCTTTGAATTCGCCCCGTCTTAAATTCGCCCACTTATGTCTAGGGCGAAAGGAGCGAAAATAAAACGGAGGCAAAAATTTCCCTGTATACAGTATTCTTGCACATTCCATTTTTTTGGCAGAAACAAGTTTACAAGCAGCATTGGAATGGGATCCAAATTACTCAGTGCCAAGCACACCCCCACCAGATGCAGAACGAGCCTATCACATGACTCTTGATCACATATCTGGACAACCATTGATAGCATGGTTAAAAGATGCTGCTGGTGGCAATATCTTGAACACCACTTCAGGGACATTTAATCTGACATCTGTGGACAAAAGTGTGCACCTTGGAGGACCACTAAGTGGAGATACTTGGTTATCAAGTGGTGGACAGTTGTGCCAGTATTCACCAAATCAACCATTTCCACTTCGCTATGAAGGGTTTTACTGGAGGTGTGTAAATTTATATACTGTGAATCACTTTATTCATGAGAACTTTATTTTTTAATTTGATTTCATAAGACTATCTACTCACAAAAACATTCTGGCATGCGTAATGGTCTACCATTATGAAGTGTCACCCTCCAAATTAAGTGGACCCTCCAAATTAAGAGCTATTCTCTGCAACCACTTCTTTGCCATGCTTGATCACCGATTTTAATGAAACTTTGCCCATTATTACAACTTGGCACCAGAAACATTTATCAAATAAAATTTAGTTGCTTTGTGTCTTGGTAACGGCCAGAAAAGTTTGAAAAATTGACATTTTCAGCTACTTTGAATCTTTATTGAGCCTTCATAAAGACTAAGAATAACAAACTAGAAATATGTCCATAGGACATGAATGCCCCGCGAGAGTATATATAAGTAATGCAACATGAAAATTTGTATTAGTATATGAAATTTGATGAGAATATCTTGAAAAGTTTCTTTAAAATTGAAATTGAAATCTAAAAAGTTGGATATATATGTATAAGTGCATTAGCTTAGATAAATATATCTTAAATGGTTTCTTTAAAATTAAGCAAAATGCAAATTTAAGAAAAGTGAGGTCAAGATCCCAGAAAAGTTCAAGGTCAAACTTTTTGATGCAGTTGAATAGTTCTCACAAAAACGTATCAGCATATTAAGTTTGATAAAAAATATTTTGAATGATTTATTTAAAACTGAGCTAATTAAAATAAATGACATTAAGGTCAAAGGAAAGGTCAAGGTCAAAAAATGTTGATGCAGTTGAAAAGGTTACAACAGTATGTATTAGCATATGATGTTTGATAAAAATATTATGAATGGTTTCTTTAAAACTGAGTTAAACACAAATTGAGAAAAGTGAGGTCAAGGTCAAAGGAAAGGTCAAGGTGAAAAAATATTGATGCTTTTGAATAGCTTACATCAGTATATATCAGCATATGGAGTTTGACACTAAATTAAGAAAAGCGAGATCAAGGTCAAAGGAAGGTTCAGGTCAAAAATTAATGATGCAGTTGAAAAGGTTACATCAGTATGTATTAGCATATGAATTTTGATAAAAAATATTATGAATGGTTTCTTTAAAACTGAGCTAAACACTAATTTAAGAAAAGTGAAGTCAAGGTCAAAGGAAAGGTCTAGGTAAAAAAATATTGATGCTGTTGAATAGCTCTCATCAGTATGTATCAGCATATGAAGTTTGACACTAATTTAAAGAAAAGTGAGGTTAAGGTCAAAGGAAAGGTCAGTGTAAAAAATATTGATCCAGTTGAATCACTCTCATCAGTATGTATCAGCATATGAAGTTTGTTAAAAATATCTTGACTGGTTTCATTAAAACTGAGCTAAACATTAATTTAAGAAAAGTGAGGTCAAGGTCAAAAAATGTTGATGCAGTTGAGTAGCTTACATCAGTATGTATCAACATATGAAGTTTGATAAATATATCTTGGATAGTTTCTTTGAAACTGAGCTTTGAACAGAGCTAAACTCAAAGCACTGCGGACAGACAGAAGGGTGGATGGACAGAAGACCAGTGATTTTTTTAGGGCCGATTTGGGGCTGAAATTCGACCCCAGTCCCAGTTGAAAATATGCCTGTATTTTCCCAAAATGTTGTGGAAGTTTTCCCAAAGAAAAATATGTGATCAAATTCAGCTTGTTTATTGCATGTTTTTCAGTGAAGTTCAAGCAGGTTTTGTTGTTCAGCCATGTTGGATTTCTTCTTAATTAGATAATTCATACCACTATTATTCTTGCTGCAAGTAATTAGATAATTCATACCAAGAATAGTCTTGATTTGTTATAACAACTGTTTGTTAAAGTAATACGAAGACAAAAACAAAGTTTTTTGACATTGCTTTTTAAGTGATTGGGTTTTCTGGGAGATTCCCAATTTAGCCTAATTGACGCTGAAATTCCCAATTCTGAGGGCCCCAGTCCCAAAGTACTGAAAAAAAAACACTGGAAGACGGACATGAAAAACACTATATGCCCCAGCCGTATTCATGGCGGGGCATAACACACCATTCTCACAAAAACGTGATAACTTGTTGTCACTTATGCTACAAATGAACTATTTGGAATATGTGTAAGTAAATGGTAACATGGGTACTACCGGTAGTCTACATTTGGAATACATTTCACATGCAGAAAAATGATCAGTATTCACTAATAATAGGTGTAACATGATCAAACTTGATCAACAACTCAAGAAAAACACTAATAATATTTGATCTTAAGCAATTAGGTATTGGCAATATTTTTTAAGAATAACTTTTATGGTAACACAGTGAAACCATACAAAATTTATTGCTAAGTTTTGGTTAATACTACTATCCTAAAGAAAGACATTGAAATTCAAGACTGGCAAATGTACATCGCTAGGATCTTGTAACACAGATAACGTAAGAAAAATTGAGATAAATTGCTCCTTTTGCCGTGTAACATAATGTACCAGGATTCGTATGCATAAAAATTCTAAGAATTTTCTTAAGTATATGCTTAAATTTCTTAAGCATATTCTTATCTGAGCAACATGCTTAATTTCCATTGCATAAAACTTCTAAGGAACATCCTTAGCGATAATAATGTTTTGCTATCGACAAATTTCTATACGTATCCACTTACATGTAGATGGCCGAGTACAATTAAGTCCAAACTTGTAGCTTATGTTTCCTTATCTGCTGTTTATTTCAATAAAAAAAATGGATTTGTCCTAAACCTGAAGAATTAATGCAAATACCGATATAAGGAACTTAACATCTATAATTGAAAAATATATTTTAAAGTGTTAAATATATACAACATGTAGACTTTCAAAACAAGCTTTGAGGGATTAAAATTATAAGAGCTCTTTTCCTTTTTTTCTTATAAATATATGTATATATTTATTTAAAACAGTGATACACATATTAAATTTGCATGTGTTTTCTAATTTTTTTTTAATGATAAGTACTCCTACATTTAAAACACAAGTGCACGTACAGGTTTTACACTGCTAAACAAAAAAATAATGTTAACTTGTACTTTTAATTCTAACTTGTAGTTTATAACGTACAAGTACACGTACAGGTGAGTTTGCTAAACCTCTCTATTATCTCAGAAATCAGTTGTTATTAGATGTTTTTTTTTCGATTTTAGAACAAGATGTTCTCAATCTGAAGCTAAGCTGACGATTCCTTATTTTGATGGAGAACTAAGAGCAGACCATTTATTTCATCAACATCCACAAGGAACAGTTCCACCACAGGGAAGATACTACAAAATAGAGACGGAATTCGGAGGAACACTAATAACCTTAACTTCAACTAGCTCATTTACAATATCAAGTAATCCTTGTTTTAATCTTTGATATTTTAACATGAATTCCACAGATTTTTAGCTCTACTGATCAGAGACCAGGCCTCAGATCATAAAGCAGTTTTAGAATTAAGTCAGAATGATCCTGGTCCTTACATACATGTGATAGGTACGCAAAATGTACTGTTTTTTCGAGCCCCATTCACCGTGTACCGACGGGACACCAAAATTCACTGAATATGAAAATTTGTACAGTATTTTGAATTTCTCGCTAAATGCCGCCATTTTCCTCTCATTTTCGCTCGCGGGACACTGGAAAACGTCACCAGTGTTTGACACTTGACCTTCTGATAATTGTGTAGTATACACAAACCATCGCGTGTGAAGATGTGAACTGCCAATTGGGATAATTATCTTGCTATAAATCCGTATCAAGATACCCCTTTAGGTAGCTTTATTTTTAAAGGGGTACTTAATTATAAATGTTAATGTTTCGTAACTTGATTGAAAAAAATTTAAGCCAACTTCTAAAGTTGATAAACATGACTTAATATACATGAATCTGACCCAGATCTCCATAGGTATAAAATATACGATGTTTATTACCATGATTACGATGAAATAAAGGATACAGTTTTAAGTTTTTATGTGCTGAAATTTATGTATGATTGTACTTGCTGCTGTTATTTAGCATTGCTGATGTATATATGAGTAATATGAACAAGATGTAAATTGGAGACATTGACTCTCATGTTAATACTATGTAAAGCTGGCAAACAAACTATCATCTAAACTAGCTTAATTTATAGTCGATTCATAAGAACATTGTGATTATAAAACACAATATATGAAATCTTAAAGCATTCAAATCTCCATTACAACTTTTAAAATAAGACATTTGCAACAATATATATTTGTTGATTTAGAAATAAGGTGCCTTATCAGAAGAATTCAAGCGATATTTTATACCGTTTTTTGTACCATTTTTGATAGACAGTGTACAGTTTTTCACCCAAATTCCAGTTTTTTTATGGCTCCTGTACAGTTTTGTGGTCTTTGACTTATCACATGTATGTCCTTATGATTTTTCATCTTATGATGCTGGCAGCTTTGTTACTGGTGGCTGTATGTCTAATGTATTATTGCTCTTAAATAAAATAAAATTTATTTGATAAATCAGGGGTCTAGAATTTTTTTGGAAATTCACTTGCCCACAGGCAAGTAATGACTGGGAATCCACTTGCCCAGTTTCAAAATTCACTTGCCCCCCAAAAGATAGAGAAAATCATCTAGTTTTACTGATTTATTTTTTTTTTTGGGAAATCATTGAATTTTGCTGATCTGTTTATTTGAAAACGTATCATTAATTAGCCCAAAACAGAACTCGAAAACTAAAATCTAGAAAAATATAAACAAATGTATTTTGTTATTTTTTTTATTGTGAGGTTTTAATGTATAAGCCACTTAAAAGCAGTTATTATGTACTTGTTTATTATTTTGTTAAAATATCTATTGATTTAATCATATATTGACAAAACATTGTTTCCAAAACATCGTTTCTGTTTATAAAGCTAGCTATTCCGTAATTTTGAGATCTTTCCGGATTGGTTCCGATATTATACAAGTAACTGGACTTCCTATGATAAGTATTGGAGATTACTGATTAAATAAACGAAATGTAGCAGACTTGTGCAGTTTCTAATACAATGTATTTGAATGTTTATTGTTATTGAATTCTTTTAATAAACTCGAAAAGTTTTACTGGCTCAGCCTGAAATTTATTACTTTCCCGTTCGGGTAAGTTTATCCTGAAAACTATCTTTCCCGAGATGACATTTCACTTGCCCCGGGCAACGGTAAAGCGTAATTCTAGACCCCTGTAAATGACTAAACTTTGTCTTTGCAATAAGGTTAATGAAGACATTTTATTAGCTCACCTGAGCTGAAAGCTCAAGTGAGCTTTTCTGATCACATTTTGTCCGGCGTCCGTCTGTCTGTCCGTCTGTCTGTCTGTCCGTCTGTCTGTAAACTTTTCACATTTTCGACTTCTTCTCAAGAACCACTGGGCCAATTTCAACCAAACTTGCCACAAAGTATCCTTGGGTAAAGGGGATTCAAGTTTGTTCAAATGAAGGGCCACGCCCTCTTTCAAGGGGAGATAATTAGGAATTACTGAAAAAATAATAGCATCATTTAAAAATCTTCTTCTCAAGAACCATAGGGCCAGGAAAGATGAAACTCATGTGGAAGCATCCTTAGGTAGTGTACATTCAAGTTTGTTCAAATCATGACCTCCGGGGGTAGGGCGGGGCTGCAATCGAGGATCAAAGTTTTACATAGAAATATATAGGAAAAATCTTTAAAAATCTTCTTCTCAAGAACAGCAAAGCCATGATGAGTCATATTTATATGGAACCATCCTCAGGTGGTGTAGATTCAAGTTTGTTCAAATCATGACCCCCGGGGGTAGGGTGGGGCCACAATGGAGGATAAAAGTTTTACATAGAAATATATAGGAAAAATCTTTAAAAATCTTCTTCTCAAGAACAGCAAAGCCTTGATGAGTCATATTTATATGGAAGCATCCTCAGGTAGTGTAGATTCAAATTTGTTCAAATCATGACCCCTGGGGATAGGGCGGGGCTGCAATCGAGGATCAAAGTTTTACATAGAAATATATAGGAAAAATCTTTAAAAATCTTCTTCTCAAGACCAGCAAAGCCATGATTGGTCATATTTATATGGAAGCATCCTGAGGTAGTATAGATTCAAATTTGTTCAAATCATGACCCCCGGGGGTAGGGCGGGGCCGCAATGGAGGATCAAAGTTTTACATAGAAATATATAGGAAAAATCTTTAAAAATCTTCTTCTCAAGACCAGCAAAGCCATGATAAGTCATATTTATATGGAAGCATCCTCAGGTAGTATAGATTCAAATTTGTTCAAATCATGACCCCCGGGGGTAGGGCGGGGCCGCAATGGAGGATCAAAGTTTTACATAGAAATATATAGGAAAAATCTTTAAAAATCTTCTTCTCAAGAACAGCAAAGCCATGATGAGTCATATTTATATGGAAGCATCCTGAGGTAGTGTAGATTCAAATTTGTTCAAATCATGACCCCCGGGGGTAGGGCGGGGCCACAATGGAGGATCAAAATTTTACATAGAAATATATAGGAAAAATCTTTAAAAATCTTCTTCTCAAGAACAGCAAAGCCATGATGAGTCATATTTATATGGAAGCATCCTCAGGTAGTGTAGATTCAAGTTTGTTCAAATCATGACCCCTGGGGGTAGGGCGGGGCCACAATGGAGGATCAAAGTTTTACATAGAAATATATAGGAAAAATCTTTAAAAATCTTCTTCTCAAGAACAGCAAAGCCATGATAAGTCATATTTATATGGAAGCATCCTGAGGTAGTGTAGATTCAAATTTGTTCAAATCATGACCCCCGGGGGTAGGGCGGGGCCACAATGGAGGATCGAAATTTTACATAGAAATATATAGGAAAAATCTTTAAAAATCTTCTTCTCAAGAACAGCAAAGCCATGATGAGTCATATTTATATGGAAGCATCCTCAGGTAGTGTAGATTCAAGTTTGTTCAAATCATGACCCCTGGGGGTAGGGCGGGGCCACAATGGAGGATCAAAGTTTTACATAGAAATATATAGGAAAAATCTTTAAAAATCTTCTTCTCAAGAACAGCAAAGCCATGATAAGTCATATTTATATGGAAGCATCCTGAGGTAGTGTAGATTCAAATTTGTTCAAATCATGACCCCCGGGGGAAGGGCCGGGCCACAATGGAGGATCAAAGTTTTACATAGAAATATAAAGGAAAATATCTTCTTCTTAAGAACAGAAAAGCTATGTTTAGTCATATTGATTTGGAAGCATCCTCAGGTAGTGTAGATTCAATTTTGTTCAAATGATGACCCCCAGGGGTAGGATGGGGCCCAATGGGGGATGGAAAGTTTTACATAAGAACATATAGAAAAAATATTTCTTCTGAAGAACAGAAAAGCTATGTTTAGTCATATTGATATGGAAGCATCCTCAGGTAGTGTAGATTCAATTTTGTTCAAATGATGACCCCCAGGGGTAGGATGGGGCCCAATGGGGGATGGAAAGTTTTACATAAGAACATATAGAAAAAATATTTCTTCTGAAGAACAGAAAAGCTATGTTTAGTCATATTGATATGGAAGCATCCTCAGGTAGTGTAGATTCAAGTTTGTTCAAACCATGACCCCCGGGGGTAGGGCGGAGCCACAATGGAGGATCAAAGTTTTACATAGAAATATAAAGGAAAATATCTTCTTCTGAAGAACAGAAAAGCTATGTTTAGTCATATTGATATGGAAGCATCCTCAGGTAGTGTAGATTCAATTTTGTTCAAATGATGACCCCCAGGGGTAGGATGGGGCCCAATGGGGGATGGAAAGTTTTACATAAGAACATATAGAAAAAATATTTCTTCTGAAGAACAGAAAAGCTATGTTTAGTCATATTGATATGGAAGCATCCTCAGGTAGTGTAGATTCAATTTTGTTCAAATGATGACCCCCAGGGGTAGGATGGGGCCCAATGGGGGATGGAAAGTTTTACATAAGAACATATAGAAAAAATATTTCTTCTGAAGAACAGAAAAGCTATGTTTAGTCATATTGATATGGAAGCATCCTCAGGTAGTGTAGATTCAAGTTTGTTCAAACCATGACCCCCGGGGGTAGGGCGGAGCCACAATGGAGGATCAAAGTTTTACATAGAAATATAAAGGAAAATATCTTCTTCTGAAGAACAGAAAAGCTATGTTTAGTCATATTGATATGGAAGCATCCTCAGGTAGGGTAGATTCAATTTTGTTCAAATGATGACCCCCAGGGGTAGGATGGGGCCCAATGGGGGATGGAAAGTTTTACATAAGAACATATAGAAAAAATATTTCTTCTGAAGAACAGAAAAGCTATGTTTAGTCATATTGATATGGAAGCATCCTCAGGTAGTGTAGATTCAAGTTTGTTCAAATGATGACCCCTGGGATAGGGAGGAGCCACAATGAGGGATCAAATTTTTACAAAGGAATATATGGGAATTTTTTTTAAAAAAATCTTCTCAAGTACAACAAAGCCATTTGTTATATTGACATGGAAGCATCATCAGGTAGTTTAAAATTCAAGCCCCCCCTCCCCCCCCCACCCCCCGGTCTTTTCAATACTGAACTGATTGTGCTTTTGCCTAGCCAATGTGCTCAGGTGAGCGATGTGGCCCATGGGCCTCTTGTTTTCTCTTATTCTTTCATATGTTAAAACTTTTTTTTCTCTCATACTATATATTTTGTGTATATGTGAGTGCGTAAGTCCGTCGTTGGTTTAAATTTTCTTGTTCCCCATGAGTGACATGACGCTGAGCTTGATGTGTTGAAAACCTAAAAATTTATTTTCTATTTATACATAAATTTTTCCTTTTTTTAGAACCTGCAAGCTTATTGGTGTTTTCTGCTGGTAAAACCCCACCAACTAGTATTGTAGCTAACACAGATTTCAATGTAACTGTGGAAATCTTAGACGGTGATAACATTACTATAACAACTGGAATAGATGCTACTTTAGAAATGACTCTGCAAGTTGCATATTTAAATGGACTTGTTGAGCATTATTCATCAGTTCCATTTGAAGATATGGTCAGCGCTTTGCATGTAAGTTAAATTCACATTTCACTTTTAGCTTGGGTCAACCAAGTTGAGATGCATTTATGCTATTTATATCGAGTGTGTTGTCAACCAAGTTGAGATGAGTTTATGCTGTATATGATCCTAAATTCGCTGTCAAGGAATTTTCGTTACGTCTATCTAAAATGCCATTTATTTCTTTTTCTTTCACAACTTTGATGAATAAACTTATTTAATAATTTTCTGATGCTCATATTTAATAACTAATGATGTTTTAATGATTGTCAAGCGAATAATCAAACTTGTAATGATTGTTTTTGATGCAATTCAGTGGACAATCTCTGTGACATTTTTTCATATGGTCCGAAGAAATGAAGGAATAGCAGCAGTAAATAAAATCATTCCACCTAATTTTCTTGATTCGTTTATTATATACAAATTTATTTATTAAATTTACTGGGTTTGTCAAAAAAATATTGAATATTTTTAAAATTAAACAATGGTTAAATTTTATGCTTGGGGATGTAACATTTCGTGTCAATTTTGTTACGTCTCGCGCACAGCCGCTTTCAGATACAATCGAAGGAAACTTCGATCGATATGTTCTATTTATAGCAATTAGAGACGTCGTAAAAGATTTACGAACTATGGCTGTGTTCAAATGTGAAAGTATTATTTCAAAAATAATCATCATAATTTTATCTGTATTTTCGTGTCAAAACGTTACGTCTGTATACACGTGTCATACATCAAATACTCGGGTGACCAGAGGACGACATCCTGTTTGTATGACATTTTCTGGTCTCTACTTTCATTTTTGGTGAGACCCGTGCACGAGTTGGATCAGTTCCAAGAAAAAGATGACAGGAGACGCGAGTAGTAGGTAGGTCATTTACATGTTACGTCTCTCATTTTTTGGGGACCTCATCTTTTTCAGCGATTTAAGGATGTATTTTGAAACATATATAATGCCAGATTTGCGTGTTTGCAAAGAAATAAGAATTAATTTTCTAATAAACTGTAAATATTGAACTATGCTACATTAATATAAGAATTATGCTTATTTATTTTCACACTATGGTTGGACTGGTTGTGTCCACAGTTACATCACGCCCCCCATTCAAGTATTACCTAAATCTTTTAATTCAAAAATGTTAATTTACATGTGATTAAATTTCAACTGATTGAGCTTAATTTAATTGTATCAAGTAATAACCATTGTAAACTCTATTTTAGAGAAAATTTTAGAAAATATATGAAAATTTATTAAAGATGTAACTTTGACAAGATTATTAAGCCACAACAGAATGTGTCATTGTTACATCACTATTTATGAATGTGCATATTTTTTTGTTGATTGGCTTCTGACAAAAATACCTAATTGGTGTTTTAAAAAGTGCAAAACACACAATAAACTTGAGTGAAATAGTATGTATTATACATTGTTCTGTCATTCTTTAACTTCATTACATGATGTAACATAGGACACCAGTTTTTGTGTCCAAGTTAAATTTGTGAAAATATCATGAGATCAGTGTTACATCACTATCAAAGTACGAGTATAGATCTTAATATCCTTGTCAAATTACCTTTTCACCATTTTTTTTCTTTTCTTTTCAGGTCATAGAATGGCCACTGATCACTTCTGTGACTCTTTAACTTGGAAAAGATCAAGATTGATCTCTTGACAGAAGATAAAATGACATTTGTGCAGAAAGGGGCATATACAATACAATGTATATTATTTAAATAAAACTGAAAATTTGTCCAATTGTTTACTTATTTATTAAGTTAAAATTTTCTTAAAGTTTCCTGTGATCTGATTCAAAGTAAAAACTTAACAATTAAGTAAATTTAAAAAAAAAGTTTGTTGGAAGGCTTCAGTGTCCAGTGTTACATCTCTATATGTTAAAATGAGGCATATAATTTTCTTCCTTTGCCATATGATTATGCAAACTTGGCCAAAAAATGCCCAAATGTAAGTGCAAATCCTTTAATAAAAAATTTGTTCAATTAATTTTAATTTTGGAGGAAATTTTCTTTTCTGTGTGCTGAAGTTTGTGTCCTGTTACGTCTGAAACAGAAGGTGATCTTTTTATGTATTAGTCTTTAGATTTGAGTGTAAATGAGAACAATGGACAGAAATTTTGTTTATAAAGGGGCAAAAATGAGTGTCACAAGTAAGATATAATTCAGTTGTAATTAATTAATTTGAATTAAACTTGAAGTGTCTCCGTTACATCACTCAATATTAATGAATTAAATTTTAATTGTATTTTAATTGTTTCAAGTGCAACTATCTCGGCCTTCCTAGGTGACTTGGTCCAGATACCAATCTTCAATTTGCAACAATTTTTAGAGTGATATTTTAAGTCTGAAATATTGGACACAAAGCTTTGAGTGATGTAACAAAAATTCCTTGACAGTGAATTTAAGATCATATATTGTGTTCAGTGATTTTTCTACACCCAATTTATGTCCGAATATCGGACCTTCCCCTATCAATAATTACTGATTTTTTCCCAATCTCAGTTGCTTTTTTATATGCCCGTCTTTAGATGGGATGTATTATGTTATGGCGTTCATGTCCGTCCGTCCGTCTGTCTGTTAGCTTTTTCGTGTCCGGCTCATAACTTTAATACTATTAGGCCTAGGATTATCAAACTTTGTCAGCTGATACTTCTTGGGTAGAAGGTGTGTCGCACATTTAAAGTAGGTCGCTCTGACCTTTAATTAAGATGCTATGGCCAAATATGGAAAAATCCTGTCCGGCTCATAACTAGAAAACTATTGGACTTAGAATCATCAAACTTGGCCAATTTATGCATCTTAGGTAGAAGGTGTGTCGCGATCTATTTCAAGGTCACTGTGACCTTTAATTTAAGTGAAATTAAAAAAAAAAACTATCTTTTTACTATTAGATTAAACAATCCCAAAAAATTCAAGAGTGTTGCAGTATCCTTATTAAAAAAATGTTTAAATCAAGAAAATACTTATTTTTTTCATTATATACTTTACAGCAATCTATAACAAATGTAATGTTACAAGAGAAATTCCACCTCTCCCATGGGTGTAATTATCAAGCACTGGTCAAGGAGAATTTGATTACGATAATTGCATGTCAAATTAGAGAGAAATTAATGAGTTTAGTGTGAGGAGCTAACTGGTAGAGCATCTCTGATCAAGCAGGTGTTATATATATCTCTTGGGAACTGGGCAAAAAGAATCAGCCATGTTGGATTAAATAGTTGGCTAGCCTAACTTTTAAAATGAATTTGGTGAAAAGTAATTTAAACTTATTTGATATTGTATGATAAATTAATTTGATATTGTATAATAAACTAATTTGATATTGTATAATATAATTAAAACTAATTATACTTGGGGGGGGGGGGATATTGGAATCAGCATGCCCATTGTTCGTATGAATTGCAGCTTAAAACCAGTCTGACATTAAATCTAAAAAAATCAAGAATTTTAAAAAAAATGTTTTAATTAATTATTATTGTAGATAGTCCCTACAAATCTAAGAGTAATGCAGGAACCTTATTAAAATTGTTGCATCAAGATTACTCAAGTTTTTTGTTTCAATTTATAAATCTTTGTAACAAATTAAAAAAAAAATCTTTGTTTTCAAATTTAATTTCAGAATGACATAAGTATGCATTTTTATTGCACTACAAAGCAGATAGTATGTATAGATCCATTCATCTCTTGGGAGTTAATGAGTGGAAATGCATCCAGTTAAAGATTAATTAATGAGTTCAGTGTAGGGAGGCTAGCTGTCTCAATCATTTCTGTTAGAGGATCTCTTATCTGTATCCTTTGGGAATTAGACTGCAGAACTTCTCGTCAGTTTATACCAGATGTCATTTGATGGTCAGCCTTTTATTTTTAATATTAATTTGAAATAGATTAAGTTGTTAAGACTAAATTGATATTGTGTAATATGATATTTTTATTTAATTTTTTGAAAATATCAACTAATTCAGAGCATCATGTCTCACAAATCTGAAAGCTGGGGAGGGGGGAAGGGGGGACTGCAGATGGGCATTTGTCAAGCTCTAACACAACCAGTTGAGGATCTATAATGTAATATTTGTTATAATTAATGCCTACACCACAGGAGATGTATAAATAAATATTATAAGGAATGGAAAAATCCTCGAAATCCTTGTATCAAGGTTGACATGATTTTCTTGCACTCTAAACTGTTTATGAAAATTGAACTATATTTGACGGGCGTATCATGCTGTGGCGGGGCACTTTATTTCCCAAAGTAAAACTGTTGTTTTTGTTATATTGAATTTTTTTTACCTACGACTTATCTGAAATGGAACGCTGTTGTTCTCGGTCACTCAGACTCTTAAAATAATGGTGAGGAAGAGCAGATTATTTTGTGCGTTTACGAGACATAGAAAAACACATGGATCATGTCAAACTTGTGTGTAAATACATCGTAAGAAAGTGTAAGATGTATGTGAACCGGCGAAACATAGCTTTATTTGTACATGTTGTAAATCCAAGTACTATTAGTTACATAGTTTTGTAGTGACAGGGTACGGGATGATACCTGGTAAGTAAATTTCATACCTGGCGAAGCTACAAAACTATGTAACGAATTTACCCCACCGATAAAATTTTTATGCATTGTCTGTGCTTTGTAAAATTGTTTTTCTCACTATATGTATGTTTCATCCCTCATACAATGCCTATCATGACGTCACGTTGTGTTATGTAATATTGTTTTGCGAGTGTTTCGTGCTGTCATAACGTACGGACAGTTTCAAAGACTCTCAGTAAAGGGAGAAAAAGGTTCCATCTCATTACTTACATTAGGCTAAGTTTTCAGTACAGTGTAGAATTACTGTGACAAATATTAGAGAATTTTTTTTTCTAAATATCATCATAAATTTTGGCATGGGATAAAATATGATCCTAAATTCGCTGTCAAGGAATTTTTGTTACGTCTATCTAAATTGCCATTTATTTCTTTTTGTTTCACAACTTTGATGAATAAACATATT